CACCACCAACAATTTCAACATCATATTCTGGGTCTTTTAATTAGGATTCCTTTTAGAGGAAATTGGGTGGGTATTGGGTTTATGGGGCGGGTAGTTGGTTTATGGGTTAAAAAGAAAGGTCAAACGGGTAGTTCAATAGATTTAAGACATGTGTAAAAAATGAGGGTGTCGTTAGTGAGAGGGGTATGTGTGTACCTATAATTGGACGGCATGGGCTTATGTGGACGGAAAGTATAACGGAGGGCATAGACGTACCATTTATTAAAGTTCGGGGGTAAATCTGTCCCTTCTCCCATTAATTAAAGGTGTAATATTGATCCTTCTTTCTCTATTCTTAAATACAATTCCTTTGCTTTAATTTATTCAGATTCAAACTCCCAAGAAAACCTCTTACTTTATATTGACTAGAGATTACAAATAGTCTCTACTATTCTTCTTCACATTTCTACTTTTATGTTCTTATCCCTATAACCCCCTATATACCTTTTTCTTTAACAAAAAGCCTATTCTGAACCCTTCCTTTTTATACACATGAATACATGCAAATCATAAGGTACTCATGATATAATCACAACACATAAACCTTTAAGCTTTGATTTTCTCTCTTTTCAAGAAAATTAAAACTTCCCTTTTTTCAGTTCAAAATCGATATGACAACGGATACAGTACTTTCGACGGTCCCTGATCTTTCTTTACAGATCAGCTTACCATCTTCTATTTTAAAAAGTAATCAGTTTAAAGAAGAGGTGAGATTCGATTCCACGACAGATTCGGGTAGCAGTGCTAGTGGAGGAAGCGATTTGAGCCATGAAAATACCGGTTTTTTTCATCCGGAGATCAAAAAAGTGTTTAATCTTCCTTTTATTCCGTCTTTTGAACCAACCCTAAGTTTAGGGTTCGGGCAAGTACCAATAAATAAAAATTTTCAATATCATCATCAGCATTATCAGCCACAAATATACGGGCGCGAGTTCAAGAGAAGTTCGAGATTGATTAGTGGAGTGAAAAGAAGCGTTAGAGCTCCGAGAATGAGATGGACTTCAACTCTTCATGCTCATTTTGTTCATGCCGTTCAGCTCCTAGGCGGACATGAACGTAAGTCGAACAGTGAGAATTCATATAGCTGACTTCAACTGTTGTTTAAATTAACCTAAATTTTAATTTTATAGGAGCAACACCAAAATCCGTGCTAGAGTTGATGAATGTGAAAGATCTAACCTTAGCTCATGTGAAGAGTCACTTACAGGTACGTAACCAACCAACCAGCTGAGCTACTAGAATTATTTTCTAATCAATAGTATTTTGAATGTAAGAAGAAAAAATAGATCTCTTTAATTGATTGCTATGGATATTTTGTATTTTTACACTGCAAAAAACCATGTGATCAATATTTGGGTGGGGTGGGGTGTTGGAGAATTTGTAGTACAAAGGGGTTAGGACAAAAAGGCATCTAAAGAAGTAATCTTAGAAATGTAGACTTTTTCATCTAATATTTTTTTATGTGGGTTTTCATGCAGATGTATAGAACAGTGAAGAGCACTGACAAAGCTACAGGTAATATATGTGGAATTTTTCATATCCTAAAGGGAGCCCATAGTACTTTTCACTTCCATCATTCTTTTTGTTTGCAAGCTTTGACATTTTGTATTTTCATAAAACGAATTTTGTCGCTAAATTGCTCCTAGCTATTAGAATCTTTTGATAATCCGATGCTAAATCGGATTAGGGGTGACTATTGTTGTTTAAGTACTATAGAATTTGTCTGTCGCTAATTAATTCATGCTCTTTGCTTGTTAATTTGCAGCTAAAGGGCAGGGAGAAATTAAGATATTTTTGAACCAAAACAATGGGATTAATAATGGTGAATACGAAAAATCTTTTGAGGAGATTGATGCATTATCACAACCAAGTACCATATCACAAAATATGTCTCATTTGAGGTGAGTGCATTTGCAACTATATGACTTTTTATTATCTTCTGACTTTGTTTGAAATTATTATATTACATTTATATGCTACAAACATTTTCATATCTTCCATTATTACAAATTGGAAAACAAGCTACTACTCTACTATATATATTAATGGGTTACTGACATGTACGCATATGAAATAGATAAGGACCAACCTAGGTATATCAATCAATAATGAAATTCGTGGTTAATCTGTTACTAAATAACTTGTTGGTAATAGTTAATCTATCGTTAAATAAATTTAATGGTAGAAGTTGTCTATCAAACGATAAAAATTGTCAGTTGCTAATTTCTTAGTTAACGAATTCTTAAATATAGTATTGTGGACAACTGTTTTAAGGCATGTATATATAGTTATATATAGCATAATACTATGTGAAGTAATTAATAGCATCATGTGGATAAATTAATAATCAATTGGAGGGGGAAGCAGACATGCACAACCAAAAATGCCTTGACCGTGGAATTTATTTGTGTACATAATGGTGTTTCGCATTGTTACTCAATTCGTTTCATAATAAATGTTTTTTTTGTGTGTGTGTGTGGGGGGGGGGGGCGGGGGGCGGAT